GTAGGTTGCTGTTTGTTGCAATAACATGAACTATGTTGTAAGAATTCTATTTGGTAAATTTTTGTTCAAAGATGGTTGGCATGCCTTGTGACAGTATAAGTTTGGCCTTAATTTTTAGGGATCGAATAATTAAAAGACAACATAGGATAAAATTAAAATTGGGGGATGGTTATTTTTTTCTGCTGTGCTGTGCTGTGCTGTTCGACTCTAACAGTTTACGGCATTGATCGATACATAGAGCATCTTTGGAATGTTATTGTTGTCCATTAGGAAAATACTTCATCAGAAACTATACAGAAACATACAAAGGTATATTGATTTCTGATACACTGACATGCTTGATTGCTACTAAGAAGAAACTTCGCAATTTACCAACAGTAGTTTATTGTTCTTAGCATAATGAACTTTGTTTCTGTTCGAGCTAGTACAATTCTTATCCCGAAGAAAAGACCCCTCTATATATATAGTTGAGCAGCGACTTTGGAAACTTTGTTGATGATGTATGCGCAAGTATGCAAACGCCTAGCACATATTTTTCTAACTTTTATTGATCTGTATATTGTGATCTAAGTTTGGTATGAATATAGGAGTTTGCATTTTTTTTTTTTTTTTTCTGAGATATAGGTAGGTGCAAGTATGTGATTTCAGTTGGACTTTCTTGAAACTACTAACAAGCCATTCTTCACTCCATTATAAAACGAAAGAAGAAAAAGATATTTATTGTTTTTATTTGAAGTTTTAACCCGCCTGTTCTGGTTGGTGTCGCTAGTTCATCAGATGCCTGTAAGCTCTAGTAATAATCTCCTGATATAAACTCTTTGAGTTGCTCCACTTCTCCTTGTTGCTGCTCCACTACCGCTCGAACCACATCCACGATGGATATCATGCCCACGATCCTTCCGTCTATAACTGGGACATGCCTTATGTTATTCTCTTTAAAACGTGAATGTTTGTATCATTTTTAGCTCTGAACAAAATAATGAATTTATATGCCTCTCACTTTCATATCTGAATATGGCTACTTCTCCGTCCAATACTGTTCTTGTATTTGATCTTAATTGGATTAAAACAGTTATTAAAAATACATGCCTGACATGAGCTGCATTGCTCGCAGAATGCTTGTATCTGATGTTACTGTTATTAGCTTATCCTGCAAGGGTATTGAAACATCAAAGGGTGATTATAGATTCGAAAGAAATAGGAAATTCCGGTCCGCAGGAGCATGAAGCTGAAGAAATAACAACTCGAACCTGTTCAGTCATGATCTCCCCAACCTTCGTGTATTTAGAGATCCTATCTTGTAGGACCATCTTCCTCAGGTAGTCTGTTTTGATATTATAACAACAATATGCGTAGCATTTTTTGTTAGAATGTTAATGTGTTCGATGTTTTAAGTCAACTTACATCAAGTTATATTTCTTGCTTTAGACTTGCAACAAAAGTCAGTAGTTCTTGCTAAACATCTCCCTTTAATATATATACAGATTACAGAAAAAAAAAACAACCTGAGGTAAAGCCTAATTGTCGAAAGAGAAACTGTATGAAACTTAGTTATCTTCCGGAGTAATGATTGCCGATTGATACATTTATTTAACTCTCTTTTACAAATTGCATCAACAAGGAGATTTGCAGGTCCTCAAGAAAATAGAATAACATCCTTTGTAATTAAGCTAAATTTCAAGGGTTGTTTTTGTATCTAACCCTCTAATATATGTGAGTAACATGCTAATGCAATACCTCGTTCTGTGAGAATTCCTGCTATGTGCTGTTGTTCACCCGGCTTCAAAACCACCAATGACCCTATGTTGTACTGTGCCATCTGCAAATTGTGACACAAGGGTTATCTCACTGTTTTTGCACATAAGGTTATAATTATATCTTTCTACATGTAGTTTTCGAGAGCTACATAAAGGAAATGAAGTTCACCCGCTTCACGGCATCATAAACAGTTTCGTCTGTTTTACACCAAAGCCAAGACCCAACTTTTTCTTCTCCTTTTGTCATTAGAACTTCTGCTACTGTTGTGTTCTGCAATCCCTTGTCCGAGATTGTGCGCGATTCTGCTGCTTTTGCACCGTTTTGATTGTTATTCGGAGAAAACAGTGCAGTTTGTCGTTTATTACGCGAGTGCACCTTGCATTTGTGGTAATACCCGGCTGCTTGGCGGAAAATTTGCATTCCCCGTTTTTCTTGCCTATAAGAATCTGAAGTTATGGTCAGCTTTGATCTTAAGGTTCTACAGCTGCTACATTTGTAAGGATTCTGTGGTGCATGGTTTAAGATTCACATTGTAAATTCTGTTTCTCATATTTTCACTATCTTTTGGTTCATCTTGTTCATATTCTTAGTGATTTCTAAGAATATACAAGTCTGGATGAGTGATAAACTGATAATTAGATGGAAGGACAACAAATATTGACCCCTGAGATTTAGCACAATTACAAAACAAGTCTGTCAAATTTGCAAATGACCCCCTGACATAGTTGATATTTGTTTTTCTTTGTACAAATTGCATAAATAGCACTACTCTCACAGATTACATTACCTGCCCTGCAGAGGAAAAAGTTTTCACTTTGGGGCTTGTCAATTTCAGGAAAATTAGAGTTTAGTCCCTTTTTAATTGCACTCAACTTAGGTTGTTTTATTGCCCATGATAACTTGTTTCAGTTTGTTTGTGTGTTCTTTCCTTGTGTAGCACACAAATTGTTTCCTACTTGTTAAATTATATGGCTGTTTTTGCCTTCCTATGAAGGCATAACAAGAACAATCTGTGGATAAAAGAATAAGTACCAAAATTCAAGAAAAGGGCAAAACCTAAAATTACCTAATAATGTGACAAAAATTCTTAACTTATTGTGCATAGAAATACTAATTAAGAAGAATTCCATGATTTTTTACAAGCAATCTTGATTCCCTAAAAAATGCCAAATTTAGTGAAGTTACTATAAGTTGACTCATTAGCCTTTTGTTGTTGCATATCAAACCAAATTCAAATATTATCCAGAAAAAGAAAAGAAAAGAAAAGAAGGGGAAAACAGAAACTGACCCTATTTTCTCATTCATGGCGGATCGAAGACAATCGTTCACCTTCCGTTTTTGGCCCACCAGGCGAACCCAAACACCATCTCCACCACCGGCCACCACTAATTCTCCTCAAGTCGCTAGGCCCACACCTCAATCCCGACCCGTTAGCCGCCAGAGAACCACCACCAACCTTCCAGCTCCACCACCAGCCGAAACTCAAAGTCCTTCACGACCACCGTTGAGTACTAATCTCACCCCAGCTGCTAGGCCCACATCTCAATCCCGACCAGTTAGCCGCCAGACAACCACCACCAATCCCACCTCCACGACTTCACCTAAACCCGATACTCAGACACCTTCACAACCACCGGCCCCGATCTCTAAACCCACAGTCGAAACCAAGGCAGACGGTACCCAGTCAACCACCACCAATCCCATCTCCACAAATCCTACAATTACTACTCAAACTCTTTCACAACCACCGGAAGCCATAAAACCTGCCCCAATCTCCACAACAACACCAGAACCCCAAGCCGACCACAGCCAGTCGAGCATCAGTACCACCATGCCTCCACCAACAACCGAAAAAATTAGCGCCAGGGCTCCAAATTCCAACTCCTCCCCACCTCCAACACCAAGCCTGCTAAATACCACACACCTTGAACAGAAAACACGAGCAGGTAGCCCGCAAAAAGTTAGCCCTCAACATGAGACTAAAACCTCATCACCATCAACTCCCATCAAACCCGCATCTTTATCAAACCCAGCTTCACCCGCTCCTCCACCAAATCAATCCAAATCACCTCCTCAGACTTCGTCTCCATCTCGCCCGGCCCCACACCCTCTGCCAATGACACCAAAGCGTGCCTCACAGACACGTTCCCTATCTCGTTCGACCTCTAAGAATACATCCTCGAATTCTCCCAAAAAGCCTCCTAATTCCCCATCAAACAAACCAAACCTAGAGGCACCTCAACAAGAACTTCAACCGAAAGCTGAGCCCAAATCCAATAATGCTGCTAACAATGATATCGATGGTGTGGAGAAGACTGTATCAAAATCAACACAACATGGCAATACCGTCACTAAAACCCAGAATGAGCTTCTACCACCTGAAAATTTGGCTTCGTCCATCGTTAATGGTGAGCATGAGCCTCTACCCAAATTAAAGGCAGGACCTGAAGAAACTACGTATGTGAAGGAAGTGGTGCAGGCAATAGAAAACAAAGCTGATGAAAACAGAAAAAGGGAGGCCAACAGTATTCCCAATCCAATGTCTAGCTCTGAAGGATCGACTCCAAGCAAGGAGAAGCCTGAAGTGCTGCTCAAGACAAAGGAAACTTTACCTACCTCTCTTCCCAGTCTAGAGCCAACCAGCAACACAGCTTCTCAACCAAAGAAGATAGTAAGCACAGTTTCAGGCATTCGTGATAAAGCTGCACAAGAAAATGGAGAACATATCTCCTCAAACAAAGACATCAAGAATGACGTCTCGAAATTTCTCAACCGAATGGCCCTCGGAGACCCCAAAAATGCGCTTAACGAAAAAAATGTGAGCATCATTACGCTCGCGGGGGAAAATAGAGGTGCTTCAATGCAAATGGGGCCCACTGCTCAAAAAGACGGGCCAGTCCACATAAGCAGGGGATACAAGGTAAACCCTGGTGAAATTGCAGACACGACCAACAATGGAGAAGAAAGCTCGAAAGGAAAGCCGTCTGATGATGCAAAAGCAACAGAAGGCCAACCAACAGAGGCGTATGTGAATAACAACACACAAGGAATCAATAACTCTATTGTGTGCAATGCCTCAATTGCGCAAAGAAATCCGGGGGTTCACCTGGCTGTCACTCATGTCCCAAAGGACTCGATCTGGAGTGCAGAGAAAATAAGCCCAGCCGAGGCAAGAAAGGCGGAGTACAACATGACCCAGGCAGAGAAAGTTACCTATGACCCCTTGGTGAGAAGAAGGTGCCTGAGAGGCCTTCTCTTGGAAACGAGTGGTTCTGATATAGAGAATCCTGAAAAGCCTAGGCGCCATGGCTGTCGAGTTGGATGCCAGCAGAAGGAAAAAGAGAACAATGCAGATATTTCCTGAACATTTAGATCACATAGAATTGTATGTTGTGGGTATGGTCGTCCAAATACAAACACAATAAACAATCCTGTTGTTTTTAAAGTATTTATGATTATGATTTATGAGAGGCACAAAATATGCTTCCTTCATTGTACTGTGATATTTACAATTTGTACACGAGCAACACAAGTATATAAACAGTTTATTTGTTCATAATACAAAAGCATAAACCACAAAACCACATCCACAACTAAAGCTTAATCATTGGACGAACACGAGAAGACTAAAAGAAGAACAACAATATATACAACCCATTTTCAGCAGGTAGCACCTTAAAAACCATTTAGTTTTTCTAACAAAATGCCTACTCACAGACTGGCTTTGTGTCAAAGGTGCTCAAACAGACAGCAAACGCCTGAAATGCAGAAAGAGGGTACCGGTAATCCATAGTAAATATATCTTTTCCTATCTTCCCAAATTGCAAGATCACTTTATCTTGTTCCGAAGCTGGAATATTCTGAGACAGGTCCACAGCTGCCACGAGCTGAAAGTTCTTCACGGACGCCACCGTAACACGTCCTCTGAAGTTCAAACACCAACACTGGAGCTGCTCGTGCCATCTTGGAGTTTTGTTTCTCAATATAAGTGGTTCGCTAGCATTTCCAGTAGATTCATCTGTGTTGGCTCGAAAAACCGAACTCGAACGAGAATTTTGTTTTCGTTCATTGGGAGTTGCTACGGAGCAGAAGGATCCATCAAGGCCATTATTAAATGATGTGGGAGTAGGAACGACTCCACCTTCTTGAATTGCCGAGAAAGGAATCGAATGCATAGTGCAACGCATTCTTCTTGGCCCTCTTGTTCGGAGGACATTGAGATCATAAGTTATGGTGGCCACGTTATAGTTGCAAATGGGCAGTCTTGGAGCCACTTTCTTGGAAGAAATCCTTTTCCATGTCCAACCATGAGATTGGATAGTTGCAGGATTGCTTAGAGGCCGGCAGTCGTGAACAAAAAACTTGGATCCGAAAAAATTGGACCTGGTAATGAAAACAATTATGTAAAAATGACTTAATGATAACAACATATTGATGATATGAACAGGAGGCTGGCTTAAAAAAATGCACCTCAATTTCCCAGCATAATTATCGCCAGTCTGAGAAAAATCATTTCCAGCAAAAGATATCAAAAGGTCTGTTTTAGTGGCTTTCTTGACCCTTTTTGCAGCCAATAGCAATTTACTCACATCCCCTGAAAGAGCTGTATCGAGCACAAACGTTCAGTCATTTGACATGATGGCATTAGGCATTAGAAAAAAACCAATCATCATGAAGGAAAAACAATATGAGCATATAAATGAAAAGGTTACCCGCAAAAAGAAAAAAAAAAAATTATACTTTCATATTTTCCTAATTTTGGCTTTCATATTTCATCAACGACAGACAAGACAGAAGATATTCAGTTACCTGGGCTCAGGCCAAGGTACAACCGATATGTAGATGTTACCCTATCCCTTCTGATAAAGCACTGAATAGGAGAATCTCTTGGCCCCGGCTAACACATATTTCCCGGAATAAAAATCAAAGACGGATATCGATAATAGTGATAAGGGGAATTCCAAAAACATTCAAGAAAGTTAAATTTACCAGCTTAAGCGATATGGGAAATGTGAATAGACCACATTCTTCAGGAGTCTTAACAATTTCTTTAGTAATCTCTCTCCAAGATTGGCAAACCGCAGCACAAGAAACCACAGCCGTACGAGCCGGCCATGCAGTCTCACTGGCCTCTACTCTACCGATAATATCAAGAAGCAGCTCAGAAGGCAAGTTGGCCCACGGGCTTTGTTTTCCCATGGGATATGAAGAAGATGATGATCCATCCGCATTAAAATGCAAATCTCGGTGGTCTAATTCACACTTGTGGTTGTTGACTGATCGCTTTAGCTTGCTATCCGTACCATTTTTCCCCTTAAGATCTCGGAAAATGGATTTAAATGGCATTTTTTGTTCGGATCGACTCTGTGGATACAATTCAACCGAACTTTATAGTATCATAGTACTCAAGTGAAAGATTATACAAATTCACACATTACAACACAGCAAAACAGATGTGAGTAGCGGTTGCATTTGAAAACATGTTCTCACATTCGAAACCTGAACAGAAGAGGGTGAAAAAAGAAAATCGGACCTTTAAATTGAAAAGGCCTGACAGCAGCAGAAGGAATAATTCTTGATATGCCTATACGTGATGAATTACAAATATGCTTTCAATGCCGAAGAATTCACTAGCCCACAAGCTCCAAATCCAAACAAGATGCGTTTTTTACGAGAAATCGGAAGCATTATGCTCAACAAGAACTCACATCCACTGCATTTTATGTTCAGAAACAAAAATGCATATACACAAACAACTGAAAATGCAAAGGATATTCATGTATACCTAACCCCAAAATTGCTTAGCGAAAACCAAAACCTAGAAAGAAGCCCTTTTCACGTTTCAATGTCTCCTGCATCCAAAACACACGCACGCAGAGGCACACACGTACGTACGCCTATGTACATAGATGAGCGCAAAATTTCTCCACAAACACCCCCAAATTTCTCGAGGGAAAATAAAATAAATACAATGCGGTGGATCAGAACAGAGCCCGACAATTACTTGAAGAATCCCATCGTGTCCCCGCAATCTAGTTTGTTTTTAAACGAACAAAAAGAAAAAAAATTGAAATTTTTGCTCGAATAATTAAGGAAAGTAGACCTAATATCTGTTGAAAAATCTAGTTTTGGGGGTCAAAATATGTAAATTAGGGCAGTGGGAGACTCGAAGCAACAGGAGATGCCGCAGGCCACCGCCACAGCCACCGCCACTATCGAGACGAGGATGGCAGCAAAGCGTTCCTCGGATTATCCGACCTTTTTCTGCGCGTTTCTTTCTTCATTAACATATTTTTCATCTCTCTCTCTCTCTCTCTCTCTCTCTCTCTCTCTCTCTCTCTCTCTCTCTCTTCCCCGTTTGCAGTGCTCCTTTCTTTCCGTCGTTAGATTAACGGTCGGTGTGTGTTTTAAGTTAGTGGTAGTGTGTGTGTGTGTGTGTGTGGAGACAATTGCTATTAGCCTATTTTCTCGCCCCCTTTGCTAAAACGAAAAACAACAATTCGTCTCAAGAAATTTTGTAAAAATGCATTAGTTCTTGTATCTTATCCACATGCACATATTATCTTTCTTTTTTTTAAGCCCATCACGGTATTTGAAGTTATGTCCCGACTAATTCGTTGGTCGACTCAGGTCGCACACCTGAGATTGATGGATGAGTCTCCCAACAAGCTTGAGACCTTGTTTAAGCGGCATCAAACTAATTACCACTTGAACCAACCTCTGTTGATACATGCACATATTATTTGATTATGTCTCATACACAAATACAAATAAAATTTTATAAGTTATATTTCTGTGTATATACTATTTAAAGTCATATATTAGATAATGAATATATCATATTTTATAAGTTTTATTGTTGGTAAAAATAAACGATATAAATATGAAATATTTAACTTGCATATAAATTGATGTATTTATTGCACTAATGTAATTTTTGTAATTTTAACTGATTATAAACAATCAGCTAGATGAAAAAAAAAATATTAAAACTATTATTATAGCAATTGTGAATGTAATTTTAAATGGTTTGGTTGTACCATAAAAAAATAAAAATTCCAACGAAATATTTTGAAAAGCTATCTAATAAAACTTATGAGATAAACTTCAACCTCTTAAAAAGTCCTGTCTTACCGAAACATGCTTATAATTTCAATACCAGAAATTTATAAGCCAAATAAATAAACTTTAAACTAGCTTATGGTACTTATCAAACACAATCATAGCATATGGGACAAAATGTAAAAGGAAGTACGGTGTGAATTATACGTGAATTTCTCTCTCGAATTTTTGATATTTTTCTAATTTAAGTTATACATTTATTCAAAATGTGGTAACTTTTTAAATTTTTTTAATTTTTATATAATATATTAAATTGACATCTTTTTGGCAACCAAATGTTCACATTAATATTGTATATATAAATTAGAATAAATTATTTATATCTTCTAAATAAAAATAATATTCTACAAAATATTGAAGAATAATGAATTTATTATTTATCGATTAATAAAGTTACTATCAAAATTATAATATAATACGAGTTAAAAAATTATTATAATGTGAGATGAGTGAATCTTTCAAAAAACGGGCGTCATTTTAAATAAAATAATATCACAATGTTTTTAAGTTTTTACAATTTTAAAATACAACTTATGCATTTTTTTTTAAAAAAAAAAAGTTAAATACAAAATGTATTGTATAACACGGGTGTTGTACTACAACTATTTTCAATTAAATAGCACTATTAAATAACTAATTTAGTTAATTAGTTTTTGGGTATAAAAATACAAAGGCCTTAAGCAGTGGCAGAACTATACAGGGGTCCGTAGGGGCATGGGCCCCGGTAGAATTTTGTGTAATATATATATATATATATATAAATGTATTATAATTTTGACAAAAAAAAAATACATGTTATTAATTATTATGCAAAGTTATTCTAATATAAAAATAAAAAGAAAATATTTAGAATTATTTAACCTTCAATAATATGTTGTTTTTTAAGTTGTGGAATTTATACTTATGGTATACTCAACCAGTGGCGAAACCAGCCGGTCATCCCAGGGAGGGCCTAATTTGCCGCGGCGCACCACCCCCACTCCGGCCATCCCCGGCCGCACCACCCCCACTCCGGCATCGGAAGGGCGCTTAAAGGGCTTTTGTGGACGCTCTCAAAAATTTTCGCAGGATATAAAGAAATACTCTAGAGATTTTTCTAAAAATCAAACTAAGTCCGGAATTAAACTGGTATACTTAAATTGAATTGTTTTAACTCGAAAAATTCTCGAATTTATACTAATAAAATCTCGGACTCAATTATAATAATAATCAAGAATTATACCTCCTTTCGAATAGACGAAAAGCTGAAAAAGTTTAGAAAACGAAGCCTCGAACGATCGAACTCGTCCTCGACAAATTTGCTCCTTTTGATACTATATAACGAGAAATTCAAACTCTCGTAATAAATGCTTGGAACTCCGAAAAATGCGAAATTTGTCCGTATGGAATCGTGCTTGAATTGTCTACACGCTCCAACTCGATTCTCGTTAAACCGAGATCACACGCAACCTTACGGAACCCCGCAAAACGACTTTTTATTCTTCTATTATGCGCACTCGACTTCGAGCTTCTCAAAATAAATGCTCGAAACTTCTAAACATGAAATAAATTATATAAACGACTTCTACTGTTCTATGCTTTCAAGAAAGCACTCCCGCTAATTTTCAGCACGCCTAACGAGGGCCGACGGTTACCCGAAGTCTAGACATGAAAATGACAATAAAATCACCTCCACTGTCATTTTTCTCTCAACTTCGAGCTACCCAAAATAAATGGTCAGGACCTTCATAAAAGTGCTTTTCGGTAATGATCGACTCGGTTTTTTAGTCCCGTCGGTACACCGCAAGTCGGCTAATTAACCAACTCAAAATATAATAAAAATAAAAAAAAATTATTAAATTATGCTGCTGTTATAGTCCCGAAACCAGGATCCCGTTTTGGGGAGAGGCCAATTTACCTTTAAAAAAATTTTCACGACAAAACCGGTGGCGCCCCTCCGGTCATGTATGTACCGCATGAAACCGGGGAGGGCCCAACATGCGCGTTCAAAGGAAAATCTTCCACTTCCAGCAAAATCCTCCACCCCTAGTTAATTTTTTTTTTTTTTTGAAGGGGCCGGCGCCTCTCCGACCCCCCAAGTGCTTTCGCCCCTGTACTCAACTTTTTGTTTATTTTTTTCTCTCCTAAAATACATAAAAAATATTATACATAAATAGAGGGTAAATTGCACCAAACCCCCTGTATTATACTAAATCTGCGTGTTATCCCACTGTAATTTAAAAATTGCGTCAAACCCCCTTGTAATGTACTTTTGCATGCACGAAGCACCCTAAATCGTCTAAGATGACGGAAGTGGTGTGCACGCGCGTGCTGTGCGATTTTTTCTTCATTTTTTCACCCC